GTTAAGCCTTTGACAAAATAAATAGCTCAGACTTACAATCTACATTTGACACTTGAGTTCAGTAATGGACAGATCAAATTATGGAATTTGTACCCGTAATCAATAATTGAAAAGGCAAGCTGATCAATTTTGAGTTATATTATCAAGTATTGGCCCATCACTAGTTACCATTAGATGTAAAAAAAAAAAAAAGAGACAAACAAGAGGCCTAGAGGGCCTGAATCCCTCAACTGGATATTTAAACATCACGGGAACATATTCTGATTAAATACATCATGTACTGCAACTATAGGCTCTGTCTCTCAGCATATTGAAAGAGAATAATTTAAACACTTATCAATATTTCCCCCCTATTGGACCCCGCTCCTCTGCCCCCAGGAGGGTCACACCCTCTGTTTATACAAAATTGGGTCCCCTTTGACCAAGGATACTCTAACTCCAGGCCAAATGTAGTCAAAATCCACTGAGCTGTTCGACTTCAGGACAAGTGGACACCAAGGATGAAGCTTACCAAGTTTAAAAAGATTCATTCCCCGGTTCTTAAGAAAATATCTTAAAGTTTACAGACGGGTGGTGACCTAAAAATAATTTACACATACCAGCATATAAACAGTTTCAAACATTGTGAAACATGATACATTTTTATATGCACTACCTCCATTGTTCAGGAAATGCCTCTTCACTGTAGGAGTTGTTCAGGTATCAAGGAAGTAGACGGTCTGCTGTCAAAAACCAGTGATCAGGTTGGCAAACTGGCACTTCATAACACTTCATGCTGACCGAACCAGACCTACAACAATTATGTCATTGAGATTTCAGTAATATTTGCTAAATGTTGTACATAATGCACATGAAAAAAAATGATAACGACTTAAAACAAGTATTTCAAATTAACTTAAATCAAAGATATGTTTGATAATTGGTCAACAATATTGACATCCAATATCACTCAATAACCACTGTTCCCATGAACTATAGCTATAGATTTATCATCTATGAGACAAGTTTTAATATGACATCTGCAACAAATGCATATGGGCAGGCCAGGGTTATGCACATTTTCCTCGAATGAGGCATACTTGATTGAATCTGATGTCATCATCTAATAACAGTAGAAAATTTAAATCTTGATTTTTATGCTAATTTCAGGCGGTTAGTTTTAATTAGCTGATCACTGTATGCTGTTCTGAATATGAAATTTGCATCCACTTCTCAAATTTATCAAAATTAATTATGAAGCATGAACAGGAAAAAAATGTACATATGGTTCCGAGGTATTTGAAATCCTTACTGTAAATATTGAGATAAAAATCATATAAAACATAAGGGTATTGCTACTTTTTTGGTAGTAGACTAATACCCTTATTTTTTATATGATTTTTATCTCAATTTACAGTCAGAATTTCAAACACTTGTGATTGGATACTTGATATCAAAGTTTTACTTTCTACACAACGTATTAAACGTGTCGCAACCTTCCAAGACCGACTTGTCCCTTTGTCAAGCTATGACAGCACCAATATCAGTTCTGTATTTCAGACATGCATTTGTAACGAACCCCTGTGTGCAGGGTTAACATTTTGCCAGTTACCAAATACTTGTAGGATTTTGTTATGGCTATGGCATCCTTACTATAATTATGACGATTTTCTGCTACGCTACAAACAATTTTGGCTCAAACCTAAATAGATTACAGTTCAATTGATGGCATAACCAAGACTTACCGCACTGTCGACTGCATTTTCCAAAATCTACTGCCACAATCGGGTATGTTTCCGGTTTAAGGGAGCGAGCATTATTTTCCGCGAATTTCGTTGGCGATTTAAGCGCCGGCTGTTGTCTTAATGAGAACTAAAATTCTAGAATGAATTCTATAATTCATTCTAGAATTTTAGTTTCTCATTAAGACGACAAGCGGCGCTCCATCATAAACGATGTCGAAATCGCGATCGGTAAAACTAGCATATCATGGAATGAAAAGGGGCATAGCATGGAATGAACACGCAATAGATTTGTGAACGAGTGAAACAACACAAATGTACATAACATGGAAAATAGACACTTATCAACTAGAGAAATAATGCAAATGTACATAGAATTAGGTTCCCAACCAGAAGTAACTAATTCTATAACTTATCAACTAGGGAAATAATACTAATGTACATAGAATTAGATTCAAAACTAGAAGTAACTAATTCTATAACTTATCAACTAGGGAAATAATACAAATGTACATAGAATTAGATTCAAAACCAGAAGTAACGAATTCTATAAAAAATAATTATGGCGGTGATCCCCTTCCATACTAGTAAGACCATCACTAGAATATGCAGCTACATGCTGAGAACCTTATACATCAGACCAGGTCCTGGCAATCGAGAACACCCAGAGGAGAGCTGCCCGGTATGTTTACAGCCAACACAGATCTAGAGAGCCTGGCTGTGTCACCAACATGATAACATCACTAAACTGGGAACCCCTAGCCAATCGAAGAACTAAAGCTAGACTAATTATGCTTTATAAGATCATACATAATCATGTGGCTATAGATCCAACATCACACATAGCAACAGGTGATAGGAGAACAAGAGGTGCACACAAACTTAACCAAATTTCTTATAAATCTATATAAATATTCTTTCTTTCCAAGAACTAACTTCGATTGGAACTCTTTACCAGCATCGCTAGCACAGAATCCAAACCTGAACTCTTTCAGGTCTGCTCTTGCTAGCTACAACCCACCCTAAATATGTGCTTGTTTTATCTTAAATAAAAAAAATCCCCCCCAAAAAGTTTTTAATCTATGCCAACTCCCAGGGTTTCTTGATGATGGTGTGATATACAATGGTTGATACTTTTATTCTTACTCTAGATCGTTTTTGCTGTCGTGAGCCATTGTTGGTAGTAACAACTTACATGTAGTGTAAATTCTTGCCAAACCAGTGCGCCGTGGAACACAGCGGGTGTTTTACTGGTGCAGATAAGTTATATTCAAGTGGATTCAAGGAAATTATCGCGTAACATCAAACGTCTTCGCGAAAAAAAAACAGAACAGAAACTATACTCCCATCACTTATGTATTAAGTGTCATTACGCATCAGCCGAGTGAGCTCTAATAAGCAAGGGCCCTTTCATCGACGAGGAAAACCTGACTACCACCAAAGCTCCGTTTGAGACTCTTCCATTGAATCATCAGAGGGTGTTACCACTTTCCTTCTGTGCTGTTTCCTGAATGCTGAAATGCAATGTCACACCGGAAATGAGGTTAATTTGATCCTATTCTCAGTGGAGCATACAACCTGAACTGACCTGTTTAAATTGTACAGGATAATGTATATTACAAAGTCCCTGATTAAGTAGGACTTGCCGGACTCCTTATGTCCCACTTACTACTACGTCATGTTTTCATTCAAGTCAAGAAGAGTTTTCAAAACGATTTTATACTCAAACTGTTTATCTTTGTTTCTGAATTGAAATTCATGTCAGAAATGCCCAATATGGTAGATTTGTCTCATATAGGTCAAAATAGTAATCAACCATGTGTTGTCATGTAAACAGTTCATACCAAAGACGAAGATTAACAATATCATGACTATTTCTCCAAGATGCATTTTTTTGCATTTTATAACTATATATTGTTTGCAAACATTTTAGCTTGATCTCAGTCTGACAGAAGTAAACTTTAATCTGCTATTCTGATAAAAATGCCTATGCTTATTAGTAAAACGACTGATATGCCAATTATAAAAGTACATGCTGCTTAATACTTTTATTCTCTCAGTAGTGTCCAACAATTGGTTTAGCTGTCGCGAGCAATTGAGCTACATTTAAATGCTTCCGCGCAAAATGTAGTCTGTCCTTACAAATAAGACATTTCACAGTGAAGTTTATATTTTATCTACAATATCAAAACACATTTAACGAAAAACAGAATATCTATAATGCATATTGTCAATTTCGAGTTATATATGCGCGGACATAAAACCACTTATTAGTCGAATGAAAAGGATAATAATATATTTATATAACTTTAGTCATTTTAAGTAGCAGGGTAAACCATGTAATACTTTTTACATTTGTTTCTAAAGCGGAGAGGCAGGAAGAATTCACAATACGTACTAACTGATGAAAACAAGACAATTGTTATGATAAAGAAAATTGTGCACTGTAGTTAACCCCAGTGTACCAGTTTGTGAACTTAAGTGCACAACTATCTGAAGTCCAGTGCACACGCTTATGAACTTAAAAACCACATATTTGTTCTATGACCCACATACTGTTGTGACTCTAACAAGAGACATGACAGGTACAACATACTTTCGTTTTTTGTCCCATGGATGAATATCTTCTTTATTCAGCAACAGATACACATGTCAATGTGCCAGACGTAAGATACAGTAAATTCGTATCCTTCCGGAACACTAAGCTGCAATCCCTCAATATCACTGCGTTTGTTCTTTATGTCTGTCCCTGCTGATTTACTACCTTATCAATTGTCTTTTAATATCTGTTTAAATGTTAAGAATTCCTCGTTTACTGTAGCCGTATCCTCAGATGTTTTGGTTACACTCTCTTACTTTCGCTGCACCCGTAGAATATGTCATGATGAAACCGAAGGCTCTGCAAGCGCCACCTTGTGAATGCTACAAGAAGACTAAGTTGATCCTTTGATGTATATAAACGGAATAGCAAGGCAACATAACGGTAAACTTGACTTGCTGTCGAATCGGATGCCTCTGTCAAATATATAGATATATAAAGCTATCCGTGGGCCTTCCATTGTGTCACGATATATTCAAGGAGTTTAGAAAACGCAAGAGAGAGTATCCCCGTGAATTCCGAGGATGCTTACGCTGTAGTATTTTTTTTCTTTTTTTTTCTGCTCTCCTTACTCTCCATAAGCTGATTTCAATTGAAAATAAATAAACAAATGAGAACAAACAACAGTTATTTATTGAAACCCAGACACTTTTTCTATAAAAGACAACAAGTCGTTTAAATGTTAATGTAACAAATTTAATTGAGAAAACCATCCTTCCGAAAAGGTATGTAGAGAATCTGTATAGAGTGGTAATAAATATAATGAAGACACACTATTTACATTTCGGTATAGTTTTGTTAGTAACAAACACCACCAGATGATGTTAGTACTGTATTTCTGGGCTATATCTTTGTATTATGAGTATGACAATGTCCTCTCCAGATTACCCCTAGAGACGGCATGTAAGGCCAACATACATTGTCTCTGTTCTACCTTAATACTGTAGCACATTTGTTATGGATGATGTATTAGTGTGAGCATATAGTATTATATTTTAGACATGGAAACGTACACATAATACAACACTTCAGTACCATAATAAACGATAAAACAGAGTTTGAACCTTAATGTGACGAGATATATTCTTCTTCCCTCCGATTATGCTATACTACTGGTTTTTGTGTATACATTGTATTTGGAATACAAACAGGAACCAATGTCACCTGCATCAACCCGAACCATTATGTAATACGCATGTAAACAATGATACTAAATACCAAGGTATACAGACTAAGGCACAATCTCAAACTGATTAACCCTTTCGCCCCTGTAGACCATAATGGAATCGTCCAGATCGATGCGTGGTATAATTTACTAAGGTAACATAGGGGTGAAAGGGTTAAGTAGTGACATGTGGTTCGAGGTATCACATTAGTATCATAACAAACCATTTACACATTGTACTTCGATGAAAACAAGTCGATAATAAATTAGAAATATGAATATTGATATTACCTATACACCCAGAAATGATTTTTTTTGAAATCAGATTCATCCTCTTAAAGACTAAGACTGTTTTTCATTTTAGACGATTTGTTAAGAATAATTTTGAAATTTCTGTTTCCTACTGTTTTTCTAAAATGATATGAAAGTGCTCTATTTCTAGTTTGAAGTGTGACACGATGTGAAACATGCTGACGTTTTTACACTTAACTAGAACAATTTCGTTTGAAAATAAGCAAGAGGTAAAGGCCGAACGTTTAGCATGGATACCCTAATCTTATATATCGATACAATACCATTACTTAAAACATTACAAGGTTTTGAACTGGGATTTTTCAGAAAAGTTCTTCTAAATGTTAACATTCATCAATTTGTTTATATCAAACATAACATATTATCTATCCCTGCATTTATCATGCAGACGTGTAAAAAGTTCCATTTCAAACTCGTCGGAAATACCAACTTATAATAAAGTGTTGACATAAAGGTCCATCCCATTATACAGACAGCATACAAATGACATTTAGGAGTAAATTGAAATAAACAGCAAAACAATAAACGATGCATATACATATAAAACTAAAAAAAAAAAAAAAATGAAATATAAACAAAAAGTAGCAAAGTAATATTTGATCACAGACGTTTATACACGAGAACTCTATATTCTTCGTGACGAATACTCCAAGGGTCGATTAAAAAAGTATACATTGTATGAATAGCTAACGTTAAATAATGCTAGGTACAAAAGGAGTTGTTAATTTAACAGAGATTTCGACTCCCAGCGAAATAGATTTGTTAACACATTCTCGTAGGCTGCAAAATTCTTATAATATACATGTATATCATCTAGAGATGAAATATATTGTAACATTGTAGAGTTCGTTTTTTGTCTTAACCTTAAGATACCTAAACAATTGGTCATTCGCTCAGTTGATAACAAATCATTTCAATTATATCTACAAACGTCCCGATATGTTGATGCATATGTTGGACGAGTCTGTGATAACACTGAAACCTGTTAACAAGGAACTAGGCAATAACGGATACTAACTGAACATATCTGTATACAATGATGAGTTGAAACCTACCAAATAATACCAGGGAATGTTTCAATGCCATTTTTATTGTAGCCATGTACGTTAGTTTTGTCAGAGTGTAAATCATTACAAAAGTTTTGATGTATAGTCCTAGCAGTGTTATGAGAGTCGAGTTTATCTGATGATTTTCTTCGTTCCTCCATCCGTCACGTAGTAAACGCCCCGACAAGCAACCAATTTCGCATGCAAATCCTCGATCCGTACCTGCTTCAGATTTAACAAACGCTCCATGCTTTGTATTTTGGCATTCAGCATCTGTAATGAAATAAAACAAGTTTTGGAGGTGATTTATATATATCGGACATTGTGACAGTCTATATACAACTGCTTAATTTAGAGATTTAGGATCAAAAGCATGAAAGGTTATCATCTAAGGTGGTAGGCATACTATCCGAATAGCATGTCTGCTTTAATTTCATAAGGGTTTACAGTAAAAACGCATCCAAAATATCTTTGTCCCTTTGCTTATATGTATTCCATACTGAATTACAAAGCTTCAAAGAAATCATATAACGGAATATTTGACTGGTAGAAATATCAATGAACAAATAAAATCATGTAATTTCTAAACATGCCAGCATCACATACCCACAACACACATGTACAGCTGCACCTAAGTCTAGTGATGTTTATGCAGAGTCAAGGTACAATGTATCAATCAATACTAAAAATCTATTTTTCTAGAAACGAATCAGATGGAAGGAACGACGGAGGTTTTGACTCCCCTCGACCCATCATCACTGAACGACTATGACAAATCAGTATACAACAAATTAGTATTACATGTATAGGATCTTACATGAGTTTCCATTTCATATGAGATTTATGAAACAAGTCAAAGAATTTTTCAATTAAGCGAGCCTCTGGCAAGCTAAAATGAAAAATTCGTGACGAGTTTCATAAATTTCATAAAATGAGTGTAAAATCCTTTTTATCCCATAATCAAGATTTGTGGCATTCATTCGTGTTAAACGACAATTTTCATGCAACCTTAAAATGTAAAAAGCCGCCATTTTGACTCCAGTGCGTAAGTTGTTTGTTACGTCATGTACTTATCCTAGGTGTGACGTCACAATTGAACCAATTGAAACTTACAATCAATCACAGGGTCGATAGGTCATATAACATGGGTTTATACGCAAAAACATATGACATGGGTATATTCACAGGATAACACAGTACATTATGTGATAAAAGTATATTAAACAATGCATTTCAATTAAACAAGTCTAAGCTTGTCACAAACAATTAGTAAACTGTATCATCAAAATGGCGGGGATATGACATGACATTGTGGGATTGAACACGTTACCCTAATAAACGTACCTGGATGGTTTCCTCTTTCTGCATGATCTCGAGTTCCTTTTCCTCCATGATAAGTCTAGGCACGTGCGAGTGGTTGTACATATACGAGTAAATGGGTAGTGTATCCGGTAACATCCGCTTGTCACTGAAGTAAGTCCTAAAATCAAAAGCAGTTATTTAAAACATATATATACATAACACAGATCAGGATGTCATATATAACATGAAGTGCCTGACATGTAAACTATGAATTTCGTGTAAAGGTGGTGTCTTGAATTTAAAAGTTACAATACAATGCTTTTTGCTATCCTTGAAATCCACCAATACATTATGTATTGATATGAGCATGTATGTGTATACTCCCTATAATTACCAACATGTTTAAATTGGCTTTAACCATAGAAAACAAGCTTATGTCTTACATGTACATACACTATTTAACGCTGTAAAAGTGATAATTCTCGCGTGTAGAAATGTTCGCGTTGTGAATCGTAAGTTTTAATCGCGGTTTGAATATTCTGTTTTGGAAATTGTTCTGAAATCTATATATTCTATATTTATTTATGTAATTTATCGATTTGCATGTTGATATTTTCGTGATAAACCCGAACATTTCCACTTCGCTATAATTTTCACTAACACAGCAAAAACAGAACACATTTTCACAAAATGAACCCGTAGGTAAAGTGCACAGGATGTTATGCTGGCAATGTTCGATAGGTGAATCAAGACAAAATGATTCGAAACACTTCGTAGTCTCCCACCGGTAATGTTTGGCATGTTGTATCCGTTACCTATTGATTAAGATGATTTCAGCTCTGTGTGTGGGTTACGTCCATCTTTGCCAATGTGTATACTTATGTTAAGGTCACTAACTGTTAAGATATTCTCATTCACACCGAAGAGTATTGTATTAACAGGATATTTCTAATGCCTAAAATATTTTGTTGCAAACAATCAATATCTGTGAGGTGGAAAAACTGTTTCAATAATTTTGATTTTATAGGTCACAGAGGCCGTTGAGCCCGGGAAAACTTGAGGTTAAGTGTTAAAAGACGCAACCCACTGGCATGCGTTTAGTATGCAACACTCCGCTATCCAGCTTGAATCAAAATACACAGTTCGGCAATTCAAAGTAAATAGGATAGTGTTTTTTTACCAAGGTAACGTGTTATATATTATAAGTTACAATGACTAACGTTTGGTATACGACATGCAATTATGTGTCTGTATTCTGAATTTAGGACTCAAAGTGAGAAATATCCCTTGGACAACCTTTTGTAACGGATGGATGGTAGAAGAAAGTAGTTCAAACATACAGTCCATTTCGTTATTACCAATGGGGCCTGATACACTAAGAATTGATACGTATTCGAACTATTTGTTAACAGTACTTGTATGAAAACATAGGTAATGCTCGAAGATGAGAAAAAAGTATGTATGTATGTATATGTAGCTTGCAGATAACATCAAATTATATGACTAGGACTACAGGTTATTTGTCATCTATCGCTTCGTCCTGCCTTAGTAGGATGAAACAATCGGGATATCACTACAGAATCAACCAACAATCATTGTTATACAGAGAGTGCTAACTACGAATAATTTAATTAACATATTAGCCATGGTTGTTAAACAACGCAAGCCCCAGTTAACAAAGTAGCCTTGGCTTATACACATTACTAGAACAAAAAGTATATTGCCCTTGATATTACAATATATAAGAAGCTGATTGTGTTTAAATATGAATTGATTACATAAAGAGTTACAACGATTGAGGAGACACGTATTGTTCTCTCGCAACAATAACACCAGATGAGAATTTATTATTCTGTCACAAAAACAGATACATTTTCATTTCTGGTTTGAAAGACTTTTTAGCAAAGCTTTATTACGTGGATCTGCAAACTTTGGGATTTTTTTGTACATTCGTATCGATATACATGACACTGTAATCATTTATATTATTCAGGTACATGTAGTATACGGTTTTAGCGAACATTAGCAGGGATGAGTCATACATACATGCAGGTATTAAAGCATATCTAAATAGCACAGTACCGTGTAACTATAATGAAATGATGCTTATAGCAGATCTGAGAGTATATTTGTTAATACGCCTTTATAGGGCATTCATCTTAGTTTTGATTAATGAAACGTAACCAAATTAATTGTTGGATAAGTGTGAAAAAGGACAAATTTTGAACTTAAGTTCCTTAACCCACTCTAGTCCCAAAGATTAATTCTTTTAAAAAATATATATTTTATTACCGTAAACCGAACTCTCTCAAACTTTCACTGGGATAATAGTGACTGAAAATATATAAAATATGTAGAAAGGATATATTTGTGACCATTTTGTTTACAACACAATGAAAGCTTAGCTTTGAAAACTTTACAACTTTCATGATAACTTTTTGATGTCTTGGCATGGCCTTATACCCTTGGTTTTATTATCTATTCCTGCATTGTTAAATGTGACATAATATGATATATAATGACAAATGGGGTGGGGGGTTTTCAAAGAAAAATTGAAAAATGGTTGCAATATATTTTAGTTTTACTTAAAGTATTTTTGAATTTTGAATAATGTAAGAGTTTATCACATATCATTTCTTTCTTTCTCGTTAATTTTAAGAACATTAAAAAAGTCACACAATTGTATTTAAATCGATGATAAATTACGAGCAAAGATCTGTTCTTTCGAAGGAATAAAACTAAATTTAATATTTCAAATAGTTCTTTATAAATTTAAAAAAATTATTAAAAAAAAATATTTACCATAAATAGAAATGAGCAAAATACGCCATGAAATTCCAAAAATAACTTCATCAGTAGCACCCGGTTCATAATATAACAACAGAACACAAGTGTGCTTACTGCTAAACAATCGTCAAACAAATCATTAAATCAATTTATAAAAATACTGTAAACACTATAAACCAATCATAACCAGGTTTCCATCACGTGTATATTACAAGAAATAAAATACAACTATTGGTATCACTATTGCTATTGCCTAAAAAAGTGTCATAACACAGCTGTTTAAGGAGTTAAGTGGAGATCATAAAAACATTACTTTTATCATGAAAAGTGATTTACACGGATATGTATACAATAATTCAGGATATGTATTTATGGTTCAAACAGGTTTGTTAATTGAGTGAATAGCAAATACGTTGCTCTGTTCAAACACAAGTAATGGTGTTGCATAATATTACATAATGCTATTGACGTGTTACATGATTTAATGTATTTACATGGGTACACCGACACACAGTAATGTTACAAATAGGTCAAAACAATTCCGATATGTTGTTATTTAAACGATATTTCCGACAGAACAATTGAAAGACATTAAACACGTATTTCCTCTTTTGTACAAAATTTTTCATAAACCTTTTGTTAAATAATTTCCCGACCTCACAACATGTTAAATATTAATTAGTCATGCTATAAATCAAATAAAAGCAGACGGTTTTCAATGGTATCTGCACAATGTATGGATATTGCTGTTTAAACAATCTCATTATTAAATGTACTACAAATAGGTCATGCTAAGGTACGGACAAAAGATGATGCTTTCTAATACGTAAAAGTATATATCTGGAAAGTGATTACTATGAATTGTATGTATTCCGTAGTATCATTCTAATACATCATAATTATATTTAATAGATATCATACATAATATAACAGAAATCTTGTAAAACATTTTCTGAAAAATCCTTTATGACGCTATGGTAATAACATGTAATTCACCCTTCTAGTTAATATAGCAGATATCAACTAAAAAGCGTTAAACTACGACCGAACCAGAAATTATTAGAACAGGGTGATGGTATTTACCCGACAACAATGAATTTATCCAGTGGTAAATTCTGCAGATCGTGTTGCATTCGTCAAATTTAGAATCAACTGGTATAATCGATATTACAATTGTCGATTAAGAATTGGTTCCGCAGTGTGTATACATTCTAATCGAGTCACAGTGTAAGATTATTTAGCGTGTACACCTGTATCTGACATAGTCCAAAATAGTTTGAGCACGACTTTCCCGAATGTTTACAAATCTATAAGACCAGCGACACATTTACTACTTACGATCTGTCTGGATGGTTGTGAGGGATTTCACCTTTCGTGTAAATTCGTCGCGGTGACTTCACTTGCGATGCTCTCTCAGAGGGTAAGGCCAGAGGTTCTAGGGCACTAGCCAACAATAAGGAGTTTTATGATAACATTTTGTGAGTTGAACAGGAAACGTTGAGCAACAAACAAGCCTTTTACTACATACAGAATGGTACCCAGACAAACGTATAACTACTCTTTCAGTCTTTCAGTGATGTAATAAATAAGAGTGATTTAATGTTTATCGTATTGGTTGGTTTAAGAAAACATAAACTTAAAGACATGTCCCATATCCAATCAAGCTGGTTGGTTTGCAATACAATGGTGTTTAGATTTATTTACAAGCACGCGCTAGCGCGTTTCATAGAAAGATTTCTTTCCCATTGTGTTTGTTATCTTTACGACAATTGCCATGCTGATTTAAACAATGTTAATTCGAATGTTACTTTTTAGTTGATGTTTTGTCAATTCCTTTTAAATATAACAATTTAGCAGTGAGTTAGTACATTAAAAAACGAAACTGTTTGACTTCAACTAAAACCCCCATCAAATTTCAGTTAGATCACAATGTTATTAATAACACCCAAAAAAAGAGAAGCATCTATATCTACAACGTAAAACTTCCTTTGCTAATAGATCTGTTGTTACACTCATTTCTAAGGAACACTATACAAAAAAGCAAATTAGATTACAAAAAAAATTAACAGGAAAATAAAATAAATAAATAAGGTATTCTCAAAAATACGTACGATCGATCTGAATTTGTTTCACCCCTGTGTGTCTTTCGTGGAGATTTAGATGGTGACGCCCTCCCAGTCGACTTTGAAACCACGGGGACAAGCGCTTCTGTAACAAAGAACAAAACATCTAATGTGAAATGCCTGATTGAATCTAATTGAGAATCAGATTTATTTCTCAAAAATATTATTTTCGTGTTGGCAATAAACTAGATTGCAGTGTATTGATTCAGACATATATAAATATAGATGTTCATTGGTAACGTTTTCAAGCCTTGCGATCATGTTCAGGCGATTACTTTTAATGTCTTAGTTACAGCATTATGATGTAATATACACCATGTTGTCATTATGGTATTGTTGATATAACGTGGTAATGTTGTAACCTAGACATGAAAAGTAATCGTCTGCATATCTATACGGAACATAAGTCTTCATAAGATTGAACTATATATATATCTATAATCTCAAATAATCTAAAGCAATTGTGATGGTAAATATATAGAAAGAAACACAAAGAACAGCTCTTAGCACGTTTACCTTCATCAGAGGGTTATTTATTTGGAAACAATCACTTACATTCATGTATATATATACTCCATGCTTGATTTTTACATGCTGTGCGCAATTTCCAGATCAGATTTTTACCTTAGTGTTTGTGTAATCCTACGGATCTGATGCAAGAAATCCCATATTCTTTTATTGATTGACACCAGCGGTATAGGGATTAAATTATAACTCCACTAAAACCATGTTGATGTAACAACAAAATCCTTTTAATATCATGCATCAAGTAAGCTCATTTAAAGCCAACATGATCAGGATTTTTATACCGAATATTAGCACACACACAAGACGTTTGCATGAGAAAATTACAACACTGTCTCGTTTTTAGTAAGAGAACTTAGGTGTAGGACAAATATTGGCATAGTAGGTTAATAATGAGTAAAGAGTTATCCTTGTCCAATAGATATGTTTACTATTTTAAACCATCTAAGAATTATGAGAAGTTCTTTTTACCACTAAAATTTTCTATTGGTTGTGTAAAAAGAACTTCTCATAATCCATACTTACCAACCTGAAGAAAATGTTTAGAAATAACCATCTAAGAAGTCTATATAATCAGGACCAATGGATGTGATAGCGCGTCCATTTAAGCAGTTCAGTTAAAGCTACTGTTATTTCTTATATATTTAACAATAACAATGTTTAATGCATGACCATGGTGTTACGCAGTAAAAAATGTCGTTTCCGATTGAGCCTACCTCATGTATAGGACCATTCTAATACCCAATAGTTTGTCAAAACAGTTAATCAATGGCCATATCATCATAGAACCTGATACAGAATCGTGACGTAGCATCGACGCAAATAGACACGAAGTCAAGATTGCTTTTCAGCAATATATATAGTGAATTGTGTTTTAGCAAATATTTGCAGAAAAGTCGTGTAACGTGGTGGATCTTGAAGTTGTTCCCATTCGACATGAGATACATGCAACCCAGTTTTCTATTTAGATCGACATAACCAAGACTCGTTTCATAAATCTGATAAGAAAACGTAACATATTTAAGATCCTAGATATATGCTGTTGGTGCACAACGTTTACGAAATCCAGCAAAAGAAATATCAATATAAACTGAACTGAACTACAACATAGAAAGACTGCGCCATTATAACCAAGATCATCACGACTGATTCTCTCCGTCTTCCGTATTCATTTATAAAGTTGATGTGTATACTATCATATCAAATCGTAACAATAAAAATATATATATATATATATCTAATTTAGGACATGCTCATATTTATATTTACAGTTAGTGTTAGGCCTTACAGTCTTGAAATCCGATCGTAAGGTGGCTTTAATTTTTTTCGTTATCTATTATTGTTAAACATTTCGTACCAATAAGCATTCTCTAGTTTTGTTTGCAACTTTAGGAAGATACAAATGTACTGATTGAGAAGTACAGCAATGGAAACATGCCGTTGTAAAAAGTGTGCTGTTTGCCATACTTGAGATTTTAATTAAACAATAGTCCAAAAAGTAACGTCTCATTCTATACATGACTATATTAAGATACTGTAGTTTTTTTTTAATAATTAATAATCTTTAATGGCACACATAATCACTGAACTAGAATGATATAAAACCATTTAATATCTGCAAAAACGAAAACAGCATATTATTAGTCAAAGTGATGAAGTACTTACAGAAACAAACTAAGCCTGACATTGGAAAAAAAAAGTTCAACATCAATGCGAGATATTTTTAATTTACTGAACTATCTACATTCCATCACCACTTACCTTTGTCTTGCGTAAATGTGACTAAAAGAAAAGGTCGAGAACCTCTATTATCCATTTTACCTGACGTAATAACAGATGGGAAGTTGCTCAGTGGGTATGCATGCAATGACAATAACAGGTACATGATTCCGAATGAGGACGAAATTTGTAAATAGAGGTTCCCCAATAAGTGACGGTTTGTTATCATGTTTATCTAGCTCGTTTTAGTTAATTTTCAAATTGTATAGACACAAGGTATATAGAGTAAATTTAACAATTTAAAAATAAACTAACGAGAGTTGAATAAACATAATAACCAACTATCACCCTTAGGGAAACTTTTTTTCTCCCACAAAGCTCGGATATTTTATCAAGAAACCCATGTTTCTTTTGGGAATACATCATTCCTGTTTCTGACCCGGAAAACAATTGTCATCAACTATGACGTCACATTAGAAGATGACGTCTCAAGGCATTGGTATTTAACGTCATAATTAGAAGATTGACTAATGAAATAACGTTCAGGGTGTTAAACACTTGTAAGTTTCAAATCATGATTACCAACTTTAAGCTGGTTTATTCAATGAGTCGTGAGTGAGGAAACCTAAGGTGGTTGTGGGAGAAATACTATTTACGAGTAGCGTGACAAAGATGTTTTAAATGTCCTAACTCTTTAAAACAGGAAATGGAAGCAATCTTATATAAACTTAATAACTTTAAGCGATGACACTGAGATCGAGTTCTGAATTTAATTAAACTTGACAAGGCATGTGATGCTTGAATGGTTTGATAGACTCTATGAATATTGAATATAGCGCAGTGATCATATGACATGGAAGGCATACGAGTGCATGTGCTGGTAAACAATATACATATATATGTATATTTGATATGAAGGAAATAATGGTAACTGATTTGATATACACCATGAATAAGTAAGTGTGCAACGTGTGGTATGTGAGGAACAAAACAATTTTATAATAGGTGTGTATATATGAGACTATTTTAAAATTTAATAAAATAACGGAAGCTCTACACAGGTAGATTAGTCTATTCCATTTAATGTTATCCATAAATAATAAAGTTTCACATATTAACATTACGTCAATATGAAAGGCGAAATAGGAAAGTGCATACGTTTCAATTATATATTTGCCCAAAGCACTTCAGTAACCATTTACTTTAATTTGGAGATTTATAGGTCTTTTTTTACTTTACGGCCCTATTTACGTGCTGACTTACTCTATTAACTATAATCTTTTGCGTGCATTCAAAGGTGCCAAAAATTAAATTAACAATTTTAACATATCTTTTTACGTATTTAATTGCGAAGCTTTCTTGGAAAAGAGCTTTTTATATTACGTCAGAAATAAATATAATATATCCACTTTATATCATTCCTAATTACTTAATAAGTCGAACATGGGTATCGATGTATCGATGTACACGGAAATCACACATATACATGTACATACACAATTGTTCGGAAACATTTTACAAGTCAATACAAACTATGTATGCACAAATCTGTGGCAGGTCACTTCACACACAGTATAATAAAGGAAAGAGGAGGTGGTGTACAAGTGTGAGGTTTAATGAGGATTGACTATTAGTAGTATTGTCTATCATGAATACAAAGGTAGAATAGTTTCGATCATACAATCGTTGAGCAGAAGCATAAGATACATATGTAGGAGAAACTCTTAGACAGCCATCCTGATGACAGAATGAATTCCATACACCAAAAGTGCATTGAATCTGTATTCCTGTTTTGATTGCAGGTAGGAATTGCAGAAGCAGAGAAGACATATTCCAGTCGGCACACATCTACAAATGTGGTTAATGAATATAATGAATGGTTATGGAAACGGTAGAGAGGGATATTGTCATCAGCTCCACGTCCGATGTCTGGAGGTTAGATGTGCGTCTTCTACTTACGACTATTTTGGTCCTTTGGATGCTTAGAGTTTTCCTTGGGGCTTGTAACGTCTTTTACGATGGGTGTTTTTTCGCTTTTTTCGCTTTTTTCGCTTTCGATTTGTTGCTTGGAATTCATAAATTCTAAATCTACCTCTCTGCGGCTCCTACCTTGCCTAGCCAGCAGGTTGTCAATTTGCATGCGCAGTAGGATCAATATCCGGTCTATTACATGACGCTTGCCGTTAGCTAACGCTCGTATGACGTCATCAGACAGGTCCATACCAAGTCGTTTAAGGACACGTCTGAAACAAAACATATCAAGTAAAGGTTATCTTCAATGTCTGTGCTGTCTTTATAAAACAGAAAATAGAGAATTGACACGATAATGCGCATATGTATGACACTGTTTTCCGGTCTCATACTGCTGTGATTCCTATCATCATGTTTCTTCCACCAAATGGTTTAGGGCGTTTCTGGGGATTTATGAAACTTAACACGAGCATTGGTGGAGATTTGTTGATTTCCGTAACCTGTTTCATTTTCTGGTCATCAAACACGGCCGTCGATGCATCTGATTGATTTGCACAAATATGGATGTACACCAAGGTGATGTCCATGTCCCTCCCCTCTGTCTTCATTTCGCTTAAACTTTGTATGTTAATGTATTATGGCACTTAAAACTCTTTTTAAATTTAGATGGTTTTGTGACAGATATATGCAGCTACCACAAGGTAGGTTTTTAGTGTGTTTATATCCATATCATAACAGTGATTGATTTGATTTCTATATTGACTTAAATGTGTTGGCCATATGACTAAAAATGAAAGTGGCTGGATGTGCATTGTAAGCAAATAAAGGATAGCGACATTGTCATTGAAAACATTATTCAACAATGTCAACACAAACATTAAGGACTTGGTAGATTCTAATACATGATGGTCCTGTTCTAGTTTTTGGTCAAAGGATGACAACATTACCAATATATTTAAGTCTTCGATTTACAAAATGCTTCAGTTGATTAAATTATACCTATGAATACCAACATACATTTTTGATCGATTTAGGTGTAAAACCACCGAGTGCTGTGGTATCTTTAATGCTTTCATAATGAGTATTCCTATCAATTTACGATCGCCCTACCTGTGTGATAGGGAGACGTGAAAAGATCAATGACAGAGAAAAGTCCAGCATGGTTATTAACAGCACACAAACAATGGTAGAGCGGGCCAGCCTGATAGCGACAATAATTAACTTTATCGGTCGTTAGAGCAACAGCCGAATCAATACGTCATAGGTACACTATTGGTGCTACTACATAAACCAGAATCAATTTAACAAAATTGTATCTGAAAATTAATTATATATAGGTGTTATTTATGTGATTTTTTTCATCATATATATATATATATGCCTATGTATATCATTTGTACAAAATAATATATAATGTTTGCATTTTTATTTGTTTACTGTCCAGAGCTATCTAACAAACGAGCCACTCACGCAGAATCAATAGTAACTTTGTTGACAGGGTCGATATTTCAGCAAGGCTTTTTATGATTACCAAGCAAGTATATCTATACTGTCATTTAAAGGGTACCAGCCCGTGTGAAACCTGCGTCATCCTTTTAATAGACATCGTACAATTAATATATAGGTCATTTCGTCCATATTGTCATTGGGGTGTCCTCGTGTATAACCACTGCGTTCAGGGTTCCAATCAAAGCTACCGATCTGTGACGCGCACACAGTATAGGGTTAGGGACATCTGGTAATCAAACTGTAACCTCTGTAGAGTATCATATTGCATCAATCATTTTTCAGTTCCTAGTTGTACTTGAGCATGATTGTTTTGCTTTCAAATTAACAAATGTTGACCTGGCGTAAATCCATCTGTTTCTTAACGACGATACATATTGTGCCATTTCCTAAAACAATACCCCCCTCCCGCAAACAAAAACAAAAACAAAAAACATATATATATATATATGTATATTAACAATTTTTTTTTTGAAAAGAATTATTTTTAACAAGATTTCATTAGCGTATTCGTCTATAAGGAGATTCTTCAGACTGTTGATTTGAAGAAAAACTACGAAGTCATAAAGTATGACGTCACTTAGCGATTTCATAGCAATACAAATATATAATTATTTAAATGATAAATTACAACTGTTGTTATTATATACATTCTATGTATATATACAGTTTATGTTTCTATAATGTATTAGACGTATGGTCACCAATAGCAACAACTTGTTATAATCTGATCAAAAATCATCAAACTTACTTGTTTAAAAGGTACCAGTTTTCTAATTTTTGTTTGGTACTGCTGGCGGGATTGTAATTATGAAGATCCACCAGCTTTGGAAAGTAATGCTTGATAATTTCAGCCATCATAACTGTAAATAGAAAAGGAGTAGAACGTCAGTACATAAATTCGCTGGTAACAACATCAACGAGTTTGGTATAGAATCCCAGTACCATTGACAAAAAACTATAACTATGCCATGAAAATGGATTTTTTCCGGCGGCATGACCATAGCTTTGATAAATAGTTGCTGAAAAGAAAATTATACTTTGCGGGACTTTAGTGAAACACAAAATACAGATGGAATTAACAGAGAATAATCAACAACAGTGTTCTGAGTGTAAACATTTAGCAGGCTAGACCGGCCTACGAACCAAGGATTTCGGATTGTTATATAATACCACCTTAGTAGTAACGGTGATAATTATTGTATGTACATTTATTTGCTGTGATACTACTTTGTCTTTTTACTAACCAATTTACCTAACAGAGGACCCTGTGGAAGATTAGCTTTGTTAAACAGGTTTTGTATCCTCAATAAATAAAGTTTATTATAATCATACTAACCGACTAAGCTACAGAAGGTACCTAGGGAAAGGAAGTGTTTTGGTCCAAATGTAGTTCAGTTACATCCAAATAAACATTAAGGGGAGGTAAATGTATTTTCTCAAACAAAACAAAAACAAAACCAGTGAAGCAGTATAGATATTCTATGACGTAAATACCACCATAGAATATAAAACATGTTTTGTTACACTTTTGCCCGCGAAATATTTTGGTTCCATCAATTTCATAAACCGATATCTTATCACACTGTGAGAGATTTCAAAAGCAACATTTTACACGATGAAAATATACCACTTTTAAATTGACCATATAGAAACGAACTTTATTTTCACTCCATACACAGCCACTTATTTTTCTGTTTATCTGCAGAAATAGTGAAAGTGTGTTAACCTGGTGGTTTAGTACAGCTTTGCTTCATACACTAAGACACATGCTTAACTACATGGCAAAATAACAGCTTCGAAAGTACATTTTTCCGAATCATTGCATTTTCACGGTATAATTGTGTTGTATATATAGCCCCATTCAAAATGGCATACAGCCTAGTTGTCAAGCGTGACATTGAAATATGGCACCAAAACACACTACTGATACCCGCAATGATTTGATGCAGTTCTATCATCATCGCTGCATGTACTTGTGCTACGCTTCAGTATAAATTAACAACTAGGGTTTCAACAGAAATGCCCATGTACAAAACAGATGCGAGCAGAACATGCACAAATATTATCCATAAATAACAATTTAAAAAGAACAATACCATTTAAATATTTATCAGTAAAATCTGGCTAAACAATTACATATATCAGCACACGGAATTTGACATTGGTTCCAGACACTATCGCAAACAGTGTAGTTTGGAACAGTTGTGTACGTTGTAGGGACAGTATCGTGAGTGTTTAAACACAAACTGTGATAGAGGCAAGATAATATACTCAGGGATATTTACGATATAAACAGCGACAATGCAAACACTTGAGATAACCAATTGAACTTGAAACATGTAGCCATGTTGTGTACACAGAAGTTCTGGCAGGGAGTAGACACCAAGTGTACCTAGGGTAAATAACAAGCAGGTGAACATTAGAAATGTCAAATCTATGTTCAACGACATTACTAATTCAAATTTACACTTGTAAATTGTTAACAATATTTGTGGTCTCAAACTGTTTACGTATCGCATGTATTGTAACAGTGCATAGCGTAAGAGATTAGTGGGTACATGTAGTACAGTGAGAAGTAAGCTCTTTATCAGCTTTAAATGTGATGTGCCTATAATTACAACCCAACACGTAAAGAAATTGACAAATGCACGTGACGGATGTAAAAACATATATGGTTCGAGAAGCATTTTGTAATTTACAATAAGCTATCAATGCATTTGCATGTTGTATAGAAAAAAACATAGGTCGATGAAATTATATAACCATCTATCCCTCTCAATATCGTGAAGGATATCTTCCATCCCTTTAAATTTCTTAATGGAGACACTCTAGACAATCTTCTATCTCTCTTAATAACTTAAAGAAGAAACTATAGGCTATCTTCCATAACTCTGATTTTGTAACTATCTTGTTAAATATTTTATAAATAGAACAGCGATCATTGCCTCTACATTTATTATAGTTAAAACCAATCTATGATCACAGCCCCTAAATATCTTATAAATGTATCGGCGACCAATGTCTGTACGTCTGTTATAGTGGATACCAGTAGGCGACGTATTATTCTATCTACATATGTTATAGCAGGCGATCTGTGCCTCCAAATGTCGTATTCTTGCTAATGAAGGATGTTCATCTGTGGTTACGTTTTAGACCATCCAAAAGATCCCCTATGCTACTTATATTCCTTTAGAGTATCAGTTATGGAGACGTTGTTTTACTGTTATGTATCAGGAAGGAAGCATGTCATTTAGCCATATATACCAATGGGTACCGTACCGATACAAGTGTCAACGTGATAGATTACACCTGAACAGGTACCGTTACACAACATGTAGCCAGGTGTCGTAGAGCAAGCCAAGGAGTTCGGGTATAGGGACTGGCAGGCAAATAAGTTAATGATAGAACAAATGTTACCTGCCATATGCATACATTTAGATGTTTACCTGTACAGGCATATTGTTGAATTTATCGATTAGAAATAAAACTTTCTTTAAGTTGTGAAATAAAAAATGGAGGTCATTAATTGTCATGCGAATTGAATATGCGTATCATAAAAAATCTGGCACATCAGAATACCATTTTACATGACAAGGTCTGACGAGCGATATAGTTAGAAACAAAATACATGCGTAAACGCATTAAGAACACGTGCTGACTCTCAAAGATTCTGGACATTACCGTAGGTTATGTGTGTGACGTCATGTACGCCTTTCCTATAGCCACTATATAATCAGAAACCTAGTATACATATTGTATTATTGATTTCTTCCTTCATTATCATGAAATTGTGAAGGGTTCAATAACGCGAGTTCTACCTTATTGTCATTTTCTTTACAACAACAATTTTGTATATTATTTGTTGTAAATTTAAATTCATTCCATAGTTCTCTCACTGAAACAAACTTATGGAAGCTGTGAGCCTGTCCTGACCTTGTTAGAACCTATAAAGGATGTCTTTATAGGAAGCGTATTATGGATTTCTTAGGACCAGAGCGAAAAGTGTGTTCAGAATAAATATACATACTTTACAGAAAGTCAATACTTAAGAATATCTGTACTTAGTTTACCTTACCTGTGTGGGCAGAATCTCGATGTAATTGTGATTCGCTTAGTTGCGTGGTTAAAATTGTCATGATTTTTATTGTTTGTAATCGATGGATGGCCTATAAGGACATTCATCCGCTAGGCCTCTATCGATATATTCGTATTTTTCCTTTAAATTTCCATAACATAAGGTTATACTGACATATCTCATATGCTTTTCGAAAGAAGATAGGAAATAAATGCTGATAGACTCAATCAACTACGAATCAAAATTATATAATAGAAATCCGCATTCAATTATGACTATATCATAATGTCAATTTATGTTGACAACATATATCACATTTCGTGGCTGTTATGCATTACTCGGTATTGATTGCCATTGTAAATTCAGGAACAACTATGTACGCATATAGATCCAGGCTTCCTACGTATAATAGACACCAGAGTCAACAGATCTGCTCCAACGATTTTGATATCAATGTATGTTAATCAGGGCATATTTTGTGCATTTTAATTTCTAAATAGATGCAAATCTGTGTGTTGTTAAGATTTCTATGTATTGTTGAGTGTTTGGATTATCACGACGTTGTCAAAGATGAACGTAAGACACACATATACGATTTTCACAGATAAAATTAGGCGAGCAACTCAGGATCAAAACACATGGAATTACACTGCACCATATAGCTGTTTACGAAACGCATAAACAGGAGCAGTGACAGTCAAATTGATCATAAAACAAAATATTTGTTTCTTCCAGTTGGTGTTCATAGAATGCTCGTAATTGCTATTGTGTGAGGACGTGTGCTAACGTAGTCTTTTGAACATGCTATTATCTCGCAGATTTTTTCCCATTTGAATAAGCCAGTGTTGACCTCATGTCATTGGTTTATGTTTTCTGTTGTCGTACATATGTACTTTCAACATATCAAAGGTTCGTTTGTACATAATAAAGTGCTAGTTATCACATCTAAAAAATGACATTCCACTCATGGCATAGCATACAGGACCGTCAGCTTAGCTTAACGATCACTGAAGGGTATTCCTTTAACCGCCTACTTACCTTGGATTCGTTTTAGTTACTGTCAACTTTGTAACGATCCTTGAGATTTTGTTTAAATTCTACAACAATATCTAACTCACTAGACAAACTTTCAGTAGGGTAAGAATGTGTACACCTTTTAAGATATGCGTTACTCCATGCAACACCTACAATTAGTGTCCATTGGAAGGAGGTACATTTAAACCAATTAAGTCGTCAAATAGAATGAGTACATATATCAGGACGTGTCTACTGTTATTAAATATCAAAGAAAACCATACAAAAAACTTAATTTGACCCCTAGAAAAAGTAATTGGTAATATTATCTTCGATACATATATGACAGATAGTCACAGCACTAAGTACTTTGTATATATCAATACTTTTCGATTAAAATTATATTATTGTAAGTGGTTTTATTGATAAAGAAGTATACTCATTTTGAATTACGATAAGAAGTCACTTCAAGAATTATACTAGATCGATATATGTTCTTAATAAACAGTACCCCTGTCATCAGCAGTTGTTTTAAGCTCACGAATAAGTATTTCTCAGTGTTACAAACGTGGATGGGTATAATCGTATGGCATTTACCGTGTTTATTTTTAAGAACCCGCCACCAGTACAGTTCGATAATTAGTCCTATCGTTGACAATCCCCGTTGAAACCAAGGTTTTAAACAAAACAAAAACCTTTAGAAAAATATCAAATAGAAAACTTCTAGTAAGTATATTTAGAATGATAGCCTGAAATCAATACTTTTTAAAC